AAACTTCCAGGAGGAGAATGGAGAAGAGACTGCAGTGTGGCCATCCTGCCCCGGGAAGCGATTTTTCACTTTCCCACTCACTGTCTCTCTCTCAGTCTGTCTCTGGGGAGTTCACATGCCCTATGAAGAACACCTTTTTAAAAAAAACAAAAAACAAAAAACAAAAAAAGAACAGAACTCTAATGATATAAACTCATCAGATAAAACCAAATCACCTTTCTAAAGATACGGAAGGAAAAATAAATGTATGGCTGAGATGTTTGAATTTGAAAGAGCAGGTGACTAGGTTCCCATGATAGGTCCATAAAAACAGAGATTACTGCTGGACATCAATGAAAGAAAGACCACAACAGTGAAGATTAACCTTACCACAGCTAGCTGTTTTCATATGGGAAAACAAAGCCTAAGTAGGACAGGGCATCCCATCTCAGAACAACTCCCCCTGCCCACAGAACGAAAGCTACTGCATTTTCAGGCACTCTCTCAGTAAACGCCCAGCAATCAAGTGAATTGAAACTGTGACACTACTGCTAACTACAGCCTATTTTATTAAAGAATTTTAAATAATTCTAGAAGCTATCTGACTATCCCCTGTAATACTTCATTCATACTGTCATTTATTTTTGCTACCTGATTCATTTTTCCATATTTACATAATGTCAAGGAAATACTAGAGAAAATTAAAAAAACATATTTTTATCAAATTAAGTTTAACATAAAAATCATCACGCTCTTTTATCCACATATATTTTTAATAATTCTTTTCCCTATAGCCAAAACATATGGTTTAATCAGCTCAGTTCAGTGAAATAAAGAAAACGTGGATCTAACTAGCATGTTAGGGAAGAAAGATGAAGCTATAACAGAAAAAAAAAAAAAAAAAAGGTTTGGTTCCCAGGCTGTGTACCTATTCAAGTCACTAAATGGAACAAACCATTAGCGAAGAACTGAAATACAAAAATTCCTGATTTGTAAACTGAGATTACTAAAGTAAATACTATGGAAGTTTTCTTTCTACTCCAAAAATTCTATTTCTAAATAGTGCTTCGGACTTCTCTCTTTCAAAGGCCTTTGAGAAAAGGGGTGCTGAAAGAGTCAACCTTTCAATTCATGATACAAGCTTTCCTTCTCTGAACTACAATTAACAGAAAAGTCTGGGAGAAAAAAAAAAAAAAGACATTTAAAATCAGAAAAAAATAGGCCGTCTAAGTCAATTACTGGTAACATTCTCGGTCAAATGCAACTCTTCTACTACTTTTCTCACACCCATTTTCCTTTATTTTTTTCTCTCTCAAAGCCTTAGAACTCGAAGTGGCACCATCCTCCCCTATGTCTCCCAGAAAACTGTAGGTTAGTAAACCCAGACAGAATTTATTTGAGAAAACAGAAGTCTGCTAAATCAAAGAAGGTCTTTCGTCTCTTTATATCACAACACCAAATCTACTGTCTAGAATACAGCAGACACCTAACTTAACTCCTCTGTATAATTTACTACCAAAAGTGAATCCCAAACTATAGTAACTGGAATCTTTTTAGAAATGCAAATTTTCACGAACCAGCAGATGGAGTAATGGGTATGTCACTGGACTCCCACGTAGTTGAATGTGGTTCAAGGCGTGGACCTGATACAGACCCCCTGTCCCGCTGGGGATGCGTGTCCAAAATTCTAATAGAAGAATGGAGGAGAAGGGAATGAGGTGTGGCCATTCTCCTGGGGGGTGATTTTTCCGCTTTCTGTCTCTCTGGTGAGCACACGTGCCCTATAGTAGATCTCTCTCTTTAAAAAAAAAAGAAAAAAAGAAAGAAAAAACATGCAATATTTCAGGCTCCATTAAGATTTCCTGGAACCAGATAGTGATGCAGGAGGTAAAATACTATGGGACTCTGACCACCATGGAAAGGTTCTAGGTTCATAAGACCTCCCCCTGAGTATGCCCAACATTCAGGTGTCCAAGATACAGGGCTGGCTGAGGCTGGGTAGATACAGTGTCAAGCCTCTGCTGGTATTCATTCCCCACCCCCCAAATTTTCAAAACAATAGATAACTTTAAAAAAAAAAAAAAAAAAAAAAGAACCTCTTGATCCAGAAACTCTGGAGGTGGGGAACCAGCAGTTAGAGTAATGGCTATGTCGCTGGACTCCCACGTAGTCGACCACTGTTCGCGTCCCGGACCCGGTGGCTTAAAACTCATGCCGGGCGCATGTGCGTGCGTGCCCAAGATCCTGAGAGGAGAATGGAGGAGAAGGGATTGCGGCCTGACCATCCCCTCTGGGGGGTGATTTCTCGCTTTCTATCTCTGTGTCTCTGTCTGTCTGTCTGGCGAGCGCATGCGCTCTATAGCAAAAACCTCTCAAAAAAAAATAAGAAACTCTGGAGGTGGAGTCCAGCACCATGTTTTCATAAAGTCCTCCACATGAGGGCCAGTGCCATTGCCTAGTGGTTACGGGAGCTGCATCACACATAGCTGACCGCAGTTCGAATCCAAGTCCTAGCCGCTTGAAAAACACATCAGTAATGTGTGCATGTGTACTTAAAATCTGGACAGAATGGAGAAACAGAGGTGTTTTCTCTCTCCGTTTCTCTCTGACCAATGTATGCACTCTCTGGCAACTAAAAAAAAGTCAACCATGTGAGACTGTGTTGATGCACACTCAAGTCGGAGAACCACTGTACAAGGGAGTTTTCAAAAGTTCAGGAAAAATGTTTGTTCTGGAAAATCTGTGTATGGACTTCAAACAAATTCTACACTTCTACACCAATATAAACTTGTACTTTAATTTCATTTTCCCATGAACTTTTGAAGTACCTTCATAATAAATCTACCAGGAAATCACCTTCCTGGTTCAGTACTGCTGGTGGTTAACAAAAACAAAAAATGTAAACCAAAAAAAAAATGCTGACTTTTCTGAGCTACCATCACTTACAGATACTTGGCCCCACAGGATGTTGTCAACCACTTAAATTCTAAAGCTCCAGCTCCACAAAAGATGACTTGAATTAAATTCTTAGAGCCTTAGGTCTCTCATCCATAAAGTACGAAAAATACCACTTACCTCCATAAATTAGACATCACTTTCAGAAAGCCACCTTTCCTTTCTTCTCTACCACCTGTACCAGGTTCCTGCTACTTTAAACAGGCAATACCCCTAAACAAGATACAGTACTCTGGGATTCCGCTTAAGAAATCTCACCAATGCCTCCTATACAGAGAAGCTCTCTTGGAGCCAGCAGCTGGCATGGTGGTTTAATGCAATGGACTTCAAGGTAGACCACTGCAGTTGGAGTCCTGGACTCATTAGCTTGAAAATCACACCAGGTGTGCATGTGAATATACCAAAATCTGGAGAAGAGAATGGAGTGAAAGGCATTGCAGAGTAGCCTTCCCCACTGGGGAGGGCTGCTTTCTTGCTTTTCCTCTCTCTCCCAGAGTGCACCACCTTATGGCAAAAACCACAAAAAACAACAAGCCATCTAATGTTTTATTATAGAAAAATACAGAAGAAAATGAAGTGGCTAAGAGTCTAACAGAATCATATGCAGAACAGCAATTCTAAAAAAGTAGTCCACAAGGTAAGGGAGAAAGCAAATCATGTAAGTGTGCTATTCTATTACCTTAAAAAATTTTAAAAAATAAAGCATAAGCAACTTTCTCCTAAGTGTCCAAATAAATCATTACTGAACACTGGACATAAAAAGGGAAGAGGGAATTAAACATTTGGATTTGTGACCCATATAGAGTGGTCCAGGCCTCCAAATTCAAATTTAATTTCCTAGATTATCTAGGCCAGCTTCATTATCATATTCTTTGTCCCAATATTGTCATGCCCTTGTTTTGATTTGGGGATTCAAGAAAAATATGGTCACCGGGACACACACACACACACACACACACATACACATACACACACACAGGAAAAACCACTGCCATAAATGAAATCTACATACTGGAGACTATTACTCAAAAAAAAAAAAAAGTTGAGAATTTTGGGAGGATTTCACCAGAAACAATTGGGAACTTCAGTTCCTCACTCCCTCTGAATGGAATATTAAATGTTTCATTTGATCGCCTTGACAACTAGCCCTTTTTATGGGGAAGAAAAAAGATCAGTGCATGTGATATGTTATAATATTCGAATATTTTGCATAGCAATCCAGCTAGCAGCGTTCCTTCAATTGGCACTTGCAGCTTTAATTCTTACTTCTCCCGCTGATACCCAAAATGGGCCAACCTGTATTTTGTATATTTGGCTGGGGTAGCCCATTTTCCAACCTGTGAAACTCAAGTGAAATTTAAAGGGCTCACGGTCTTTTCAGAGAACTCGGAAAAGTAAAGCCAGTCCTAAGTCGAAGGACACCACGCTGGGAGTTGTAAAAGCACAAACTTGGTGCCCTGTCCTCCCAGGAGCTGGAATTCCAACACTCGCTACTAGACTTTCTAACCTAACTACTTTGAACAGCACTCACCGAATACCGTAAGGTGAGGTTCCTCACTTTTCTAAGTCAGCCCTGTTCCCTTCCCTTCAACCGCCGGACATAACACCCGCGCCCAGAAACTCCAAAGCCAAAGCACCTCCCTCTTAGCCACCGTAAAGGTAAACGCTCTCTGCCAGCTCTCCTGTCCAGCAGTGTCCCGGGTGCCAGCGAGGTGCCTAGCAGGGTCGAGACCCACAGCTGCCGAAGTCCGCGCGTCCCAGGGCGCTCGCTGCCTGGTGGCCCCGATCCCTGCCGCCAGGCGCACCCCGACCCGCCCGGCGACCCCCGCTCCTTCCTCCAGACCCGGCCCCAAGGCCCGCGGATCCCCTCAGCGCTTCCCCAGGCAAACCCGGAACCCGGCACCGGCCCCCGCCCAGGCGCAGGCTCAGGCCAAGGCCGGTTTGCGGCGTCCCCTGGCTCCCGCCCCACCGCCCGATCCGTCCCGACTCGCGCCCCGGCAAGGCGAGGATGAGCCGGGGGGCCTGGCCCCGGTGTCGGCGCCCCGGCTGGGACAGGCAGGTCTCACCTTCGTACTGCAGATCCACCAGGACCAGTAGGAAGGGGAACACCGAGCCCAGCCGGCTGGTCACAGAGCCCGGGGCCACCATGTCCGC